AACTATAAGAGGAACTGACACTGAGCATTTTGAAATATTAACTTCATTATACAAGTTGTACATCTGGGCTGTAGTTACTCTGTGTCGCCCATTTCATGTATTTTATCTATGGCTGAAACAATAAATCATATTAATCGATTATTTAAATAATCGTCAACTAATTTAGTAATTGATTAATCATTAATTGGAGTATAGGGCCACTAAAATGTGCCTTTAGCCGACAGAGCAACCCACTTAGAGCAGGAATTATACCAAGATTGTAAAAAATATGTAAACATTTTGCATTTAAGACAAAAAAAAAGTTTTTGTCTGTCAATATTCTCCATCCAGAACTCCTCAAGAGGAAATGTCTGTTTCACCTGGTTTCATTTCGTAAAAAATCTTCTTTAAGGAACCTTTGGCTGATGTGATTATTAATCGATTCATCAAAAAAAAGAATCGACACATTAATCAATTTGCAAAATAATCATTAGTTGTTGTTATGTTCTACAAAAGAAATAAAACCTATTATTTATACCTGAACTGCCGTCAAAAATGAAAACATTAATAGCAAAGAAATATTGGTGAAAGGGAATCAGAAATGTTGATAGTTTACAGTCTTTGTTCATTTTAACAGTAGTTTTCAGAACTCCTGTCTGACTCACAATATTTAGTTTAATAAAGAAATCCTAACGTTGGTTACTTTCATTTCTCAAGTTCCACAAATCCAAACTTTGTCTCTTTACAGAACTGCAATGAGAAGCTTTCGCCTGTTTTAGCCTAGATAATATTTAGTTTTTAATTGGAACTAGTTTCGTAGCCTAATATTAATTTTGGTAAGCGCCTTATTCTAGCGTCATTTTTTGTTTATTTCGCGCTCCAAGCACACATACAGACTAGAAAACAAGCAATCAGAAAGAGGAAGGCAGAACTTAATGCAGAAATATCAGAGAGTGGAGTTAAACAGAGTTAGCAGTTCCATGTCTTGCTGCGTGAAAGGGACAGGAAAGACCAGACAGCTGCTCGAGGAAAAGAAGCCACTGCTGCAACAACTACTGCTGTAGGGTAAATTATAATCATGTTGTTCACATCCAATTATTGGTTTATTTTGGTAGAAACATTTCCCTATGGTCCCTAAACCTACGCCCATGGTCTGGCTACACCAGGGGGGCTCAAGTCCAGTCCTCAAGAGCTACCATCCTGTAACTTTTAGATGCATCTCTTCTCTAACACACCTGAATCAAAAGGTTTAATCCCCTCATTTAGCCCAGCAGATGCATGGTAACGAGCCACTTGTGAATCAAATGAGGTGCATCAAAAAGTTGCAGGATACTAGCTCTTAAGGACTTGACTTGAGCACCCCCGGGCTATAAGGATTTAAAGGAATCGGACCTGTAAGTAGAGCCAAACGTGAGGCTGAGCGACATGAATGTGCTTCTAGCTGACACCAAGGTACGTCAACTGAATTAGACCAGAAAGCAATTTCAGTTATGTTAGCTGCCCAGCAATAAAACTGAAAATTGGGTAGGCAGAGACCAACAAAGACCTTACAGTTCTGAAGTATTTTTGTCTTACTCTGGGTGTTTGCCACTCCACAAAAAGTGACAGCTGATTTAAAAAAACTTCTTGGTAAAAATACAGGTAGACATATAAAAAGAAACAGAAATTTTGGCAACTGTTAATTAAACAGTACTTATTCTCACAATCAAAGAGAGTGTGAGGGACCCTATTTTTGAAAGTCTTTTTTAATGTCTACAAAGGGTGGGAGGACTTTTTAGAGCACAAAGACTTAAAACATCTGGTTAGGTTGACCGCAAGATATAAGATACAGTTGTTTTTTCTCTCTGCTTTTGTCTCCTTCAAACCCAGTCGGTCTCAGCACATGGCCGCTCACACTGAGCCTGGATCTGCTGGAGGTTCTTCCTGTTCAAAGGGAGTTTTTTCTCTCCACTGTCGCTATAAGCATGCTTAGTGTAAGGGATTGCATTCAGGTCAATGAGTGGATGCAATCAACTGGTTTTCCTTAGATGAAAAACGCTGAATCAATCTGACTGGATGATCTGGTGAACTGTAAAGTGCCTTGAGATGACATGTGTTGTGAATTGGTGCTATAGAAATTAACTGAATTGAAAATTGAATAGATACCGAAACCCAAAGGGCAAGACTTGAAAGGGACATCAGATTGAGAGAGCTGCAGTTCCAAATGGTTAACAGGAAAACATTCACTCTTGGAAAAAATAACTTTACACCCTGAGAACTGGCCAAATCTGTGAAAAAATGTATCGATAGCAGGTCAGGTTCCTATTGGTTCGGTGACATATAAAAGCAAATCATCTGCAGACAACGGTAGCTTAGTTCTGCATGACTCCTAACAATTCCTTTTACACTAGGAGAGGTTCTCAGAAAAATACTCAAAGGATCTATTGCAAGTGCAAACAAGAGGGATGACAGGGGGCAGCCTTGTCTACAATCTCTATTTGAAAAGAAGTATGCAGGTTGGTTGTTATTAGTAATAGTACTGGCACAGGGTAGTTTATAAAGAAGGCGTATCCATGATATAACATTTCCCCCTATTCTAAATGTAGATAATAACAGGTAACTGGATTCTACTCGATCAAACACCTTTACAGCATCGATTGATATGACAACCTCAGGCACAATTGTTGTCTCCCTTCCATAAATGACATTAAACAAGGTACGAACATTGTAATAGAGTTGACACCACTCTGTTCCTTGGAGATAAGTGTTCGGAGAACTTGATCAAGTTGCTGGGCGAGAGCCTTTGTGATCATTTTTGTGTCCACATTTATTAAAGGAATTAGCCTATAGCACAGGTGTTCAAGGTTTTCCAGGCCAAGGACCCCCAAACTGATGGCAAGATGGAGTGGGGACCCCCTCATTATATATATTGTATGAAATTGTGTTATATCAAAGTGATCCTATAGTCACTCTATTACATATAGAGTAATGTAATGAAAGTAATTTCTCCTTGGGATTATTAAAGTATTTCTGATTCCTGGTGGATGAAACGGTGTGCAGCTTGA